AAGGGTAAATTAAACCATAAATTCAGACAAATGTATCTACATCTGCACTTGTGATGTCTTTTCCATTTCTGCTTTATTGGCGCTTGGGCTCCAAGACACAGAGGTGGGTTGCTCAATAAACAGCACAACGCAAGTCCTCCCAATTAATTGGATTGTTCTATTTATGCTGCTACTCCCTCCAATTAAACGCAAGGGAGTGCAAGTGACAGGCATGAGTAAGATGGGCATGCAGAAAACCATATCCTCATGCAAAAGCTGTGATGAGAAAATGGAAGCTATGCACCTGATGGGAATATTAATGCAAAACCTTGACCTATAATTTTTCTTTCTTCAGTCTGAGAAAGCCAGCAACAATTACAGCTCATTAAAATGGACCGTGGCCTGACAGTTGTGCATAATGCCCACGTCCTGCAAGTCCCGTGGTCTTCACCACCAAGGCAAAGGTTTAGACCATGGGACTTGCAGGACGCAGGCATTATTGTCAAGCTGCGTGGTCCTACATGGCTAGGAACAGGAGTCTGCAGCCAGCCCCAAAGACCCTTTCTCCCTTTTAAACTCAGTGTCATGAGAGAAAGAGCGAGGTGGGGAAAAAACAAAAGACAAACCCAAAAGTGCCAGCTTGGACCAGACCTGTGGAGCTGATATGAATCATCTCCCTGCTCAAAGCAGGGCCAACTTCAACATTAAATCCAGTTGGAAAGTCAGATCAGGTGGCTCAGTGCTGAAAAGTCTCCAAGGATGGAGATTTCACAACCTCTCTGGGCAGCCTGTTCCAATGCTGCCTTGTCATGGCTCAGCCTGGAAGCCTTTCACCACATGACAACAACATCTGTCTCTATTTTCTTCACTGCTTTCTCGATGCAAGGTGTATGTTGGCATGTGGGATGCCATGAGCGTCAGTAAGGAGGGTGACACCACCATGCAAAGACAATTCCTTTGCAAGGGAACGAGATCAGAAAACAGCCCCACATGAGATAAGATGAGAAGGAAGGCACTGTGGATTTTAGTCTAGTTTGCTGCTGGTTTTCTCCAAGGCATTGCCAGAGGAGGTCTTGAAGATGGAGCGATCAAAGTGTTGTCCAGTCTGGGCTTGGTCTTTGGCACAGACTTGAGATGTCAGAGCTGGTGGAGCAGCAACTGCAGCTCTCCTTCTCCACGGAGCAGTGAGGGTTGTAGCCCTCTCTGGAGGCATCTCTCCCTACGGAGAGAGCCAAAGGCAACAAGCTTTCTAGCCCTGACACCTCTGATATGTGTGAAGATGGAGAAGTTGAACGCAGGCCTAAAATATTTTACATTTTCACGGTAGCTTCACAGCCCTGGCACCACCAAATGATCTTTCAGTGTACTTGGAAGCAGGAGGAGAGTAACTTGAGATGAATTCTGGCTTTTTTGTCTCTGTGTACTTGCAAACTGCCTCTGCCTACACAGCTTGCAGGGCCTGTGCCTGTTTGGAGATGCACACAGAAAAGTGGTGCTGGTGTGGTTCCGTCTGCTCCATTCTCCTCCTGAAGTTTGGAGGCCATTCAGAGCAGGTCCCCATCCCTGGGTGGTTAAGATCAAACTTGCCCTGTGCACTGTTCTCCATCGGCCAGGCTAGTTAGGAACTTGGGGCTAGGAAACACAGGGCAATTTTAAAATCTGAACAAAAGCAGGAGATTAAGGAAACCAGCTGGAAACCTCTATTTTGCTGATTTTTGAAAGCCAAATGTGGGTCACAGATGTGCTTCCACAGACAGAAGCTGGCTAGAGAAGAAAAAGACATCAGCAGTGCCCAGACTCTTTGATGATCAGAGGTAGATTTAGCCCCTAGGCATGGAGACAAGAAAGGAAGAGGAGATGAAGTAGGAATAAAAACATAATCAAGAGATTAGGAATGTGGAACTCAACCCACCCATAAATTCGCCTTAGGGAACAGTGAAAAAATGCAGTAAAAAAAAAAAAAAAAAAGATTAAACCGGCTGCTTCATTTTCCTCTCTTCCCTTCTCTTGCTGTCCTTATGGTTTTACTTTTTACTGTCCTGGAGGCCCATTACAGCACCTCCCTTCTTCCCCAGTCATTTTCAAAAGTGCTGTTTTCTACTGTTCCTTTGCAGCTGCTATGAAATCCTTGCTAAGGACTGGCTGATTTTAGAGCCTAAAAGAAGGGAAGTGTCTCAGGGAAGTCACCCTGTTAGGCAGGGATGAATGGGAGAGCTCAAAGCAACGTGCTCCTGCATGCCTTGTATAGGAGAGAAGAGCTATCACTCTCTTCTTGTTTAGGCTAATAGAAAAATGTTAACTCTATAGTCAGGGAAATTAATGATAGACTAATAAGAGTCCTGCTGCTCCTTCTTGCAGGCTGTCGATTAGCCTGTGACTAATCAACACAGGTCTGTTGTTTGAGCCATTTGAAAAACCTCAAGGTAAAGCACTGGGAGAGCAATGCAGGACAACAGCAGCATTGGTGCAGAGACACCCAAGTGGCGGTTCCTTAGAAATAGGCAGTGGAGGAGGGGGGTCTGAAAAGCATTCAGGGGGTGGTTTTTGGGGCAAAGGGAAGTGCCTGGACCACTCCTGAAGGTCCCATCTATGCTGGTCACTGCAGGACCTGATCCTTTGGTGCCTTCAGGCTTTGCAATGTGTCGAGCAGCCAGGGAGCACAATCTCTGATTCCTACAGCAAACTTCCCTCCTGCCAGCGAAACACCAGTCCCAGTGGCTTTAACAGCAACAGGAGCCTGAAACAGGAGCCATGCTAGCCCAGCTCACTGCCCACCACTGACTTTCAAACTTTGGGGAGCTCAGATTCAGTTCTTGTCTGGAATTTCTTTTTGCCAGCCCTAATGAAAGCCCATTTTGCAGTTGCTAATGTGTTAAATCCAGTATCAGTGTCAATAAAGATAAGCCCTTTCTTGGCAGGGGTGAAAAAATAGAAAACTGTCTCAGATCTTTCACTCATGCAGACGAAAACAACCCCAAAGCATTGAAGGATTATATGAAAAATATGTCTTTTTTCCCTGGGAGTCCACTGGGCAGAAGAAGCGCCAACTGATGCTCTCACTTGCATCACCATCTGGTGTGATGGCACACACGGGCACGCTGCAGTGCTCTGCCCTGTGACAGCAACTCTGCTCCTGGTGGTGGAACCACCAGCAGCTCCTACAGGGCAGCAGGTCCATCAGTGTGAAGGACTCGGTTATTTCCAGCCTGGAGAAAACAAGCCACAGCATGATTCACAGCGTGGCTGAGGAGGGAAGCAGCAGAACCTGCTCCTGGCCCTGAGGAGTGGGCAGCCTCCTCTGGATCCGAGAGGTTTTGTTAAAGGCACCCAAATCCATTTTGCTGGGCTGCAACCACAGGCTGACATCGCTGTGAATACCAGAGCACAGAGCCTCTTCAGCTGACGTCTAGAAGCTGCTTGTGGTTTCCGAGCTCTTGCTGATGAATTGCCCAGCAGCTGGTCACATTGGGAGGGCTGTGCTTATTATTTTCAACTGCTATCTTGCATGGAAGGGAAATCAAAATACTTTCCTCAAGGTAATTGGCTCTAAAATAATTGAAGAATTTTCCACAAGGTTGTAATACAATTAGGGCCAGTGTTTTATGTAATTTATATCTCTGAGTGTATGTTTATGCCACCGGATCTTTCTTTTGTGAAAAAAAGAATTAAAAAATAAAAAAAATGCTGGTGGGAGCAGGCTGGTTTTGCTATTACAGGCAAGGAAACCTAGATTAAATAAGGATGTCCACCCAGTAGTGATTAAAAGGCAACATAACGTCAGGTTCATCACCACGATGTAGCCCGTGGTGAGAAATGATTGGGCAGGATGCTGTGACACCAACCACACATCTGCAGGCTTCCTACTTGTATTTTGGTCAATGCCAAGAGATGTGTCATCGCTCGCCTTCTGCTGCAGCATGGCAAAAGCAGAAACAGTCCTGCACTCTCTAACTGCCCTGCTGGCTTGGGTGGGAGGAGCTGGTGCAGACTGGGGACAATCGGGTCCACCCCACGGACCAAAACCATCAGCTTGGGTCCGTGTTTTGGTAGGTATCTGGGAAAGCCCTAAGCAGAGGTGCCAGGCAGTCCAAACACGCAGCAATGACTCCAGAAGCGCATGAGTCAGCCGGTGAACTTGTTGACCTGGAATGTGGTGAAAGCCACAAGCATGGACGTGGCATTCCCCTGTCACCACGTAGGCAAGCCTTTAGCTCCCTGACTACCAACAGGTCCAAGGGTGTAACTGGGAAAACCATCACTCAGTGTTTTCTTGTTCCTTATGCTTCTACTTCACCATGTTTAACTGCAAGAGCTGCTGGGACTGACATGATGGGATGAAAAGCTTTAGCCTCCTTGCTTAGGTGGAGGCAAATAGATTGGGTGAATTATCACTAGAAATGAGTCTAAGCTGCAACCAAGGAGGCACACAATGTTTCTTCAGAGCCAGAGCAGCTGTGTCCTGTCCTTATGAACCAAAGCCATGGATTCAGACAATCACCACTAAAAAAAAGCTGGGTGTGGTCCCTAATGGTAGACATACCACCAGCTTTATTTTGAGAATGGTGCAATGCCACTCTAAAAGCAAAGCTGCCCCTTGCCCCTGGTTGTAATCCAGCAGCCCATCAGTCCAATGTATGATGACCAGAAAAGCAAACCCAAGTGCTGTCCTGCTATACAAAGCAGGAGATCACACCCTTCTGTTATCTGTCCCACAAACAAAGAAGCCATCTGCCATGGCCATGGGTTGGTCTGCCTCTGCTCACTACGTCCTTGTTGGTAGAAACCTACCTGGGGCTGTTTGGTAATCTGGCCTCAGGGTCACAGGGCAGACTGTGCCAGAGGGGCCATGAATGTCCTACCTGACACTTTCTGCCCCGCAGCAGCCTGTGACAACCCAACCCCCAGTCTGTAAGCAGAGCCATGTTCAGGTCCAGCATTTAGTAGGTCATTAACTTCAGTCAAAACTTCAATGAACCCAAATGCAGTTCTTGCCACACAAGACCACAGACAGGGACACTCACTATTGAGCCGAGTCGTTGAGTTGGTATTCCCGGGATCGGTTGAAGCATTCTTGGATCCCAGAGTCTGCCCAGAGTCTCATCATAGCTGACAGCAGCTCTGGAGAGAAGGGCTCTGTGTCCTCCATCCGACTCACGACGTCGCAGACCATCTTGGCATCAGCCTGCAGAGGAAAGAGAGGAGAGGTCACACGGATGCTTCCGGCAGAATCGGGAGCCAGAGACTTCAGGAACAGTTCACCACCAAACCATCAGGAGTAAAGAGGCTGAGCTTCTCGGGATGGGACTTCAGGATCCACACCATGATCCATCCACGATCCAGCAGGAAGGGCAAGAGGAGGATGGAGCAAGGAAGCCAGAAGGAACAAGGTTATTTGTGCAGTCTGCCTGATGTCAACAGATATTTCTGTCTTTCAGCAGACAAACCCATTGTCACTACTTGTGTGGGGCTTCTTAGGAGCAGAAGGAAATTCAGGTACGTGCAAGTATATTTTAAATTCTTAGTAAAGTGATGCTCATTCTGCAGTGATACATCTTTTAACTGTGTGACCTTGCTGAATTGGAATCATAGAATGTTTAGGTTGGAAGGGACCTCCAAAGGTAAAGGTAGAGCCTGTTTCTATCAGAAAGGGCCTAGAAACAATTTTTTTGGGGGCTGTTTTATTGCTTTTCTTGAATTCTTTGCAGAGAGCCCCTGCTTAGCGAGGCTGATTCCTGTGAGCACAGAGCACCTTGGCTGGCTGTTGTGCTCGGTGACTCAGAGGGAGAGGAACCTCCCGTGGTGAGGAGGATGGCAGCAAGGCCAGGGCCAGCTGGCTGCTCTCGGGTGGAATTTTTCTTGGTGAGAAAAAATGCGAGTCGCTGGAACAGCAACTTTGCCCAGAGGACAGTGTTCTGACAGCTCAGGTCTGGAAGATGGCTCAGATTTAGAATGGGAATGTCTAGACAGCCTTGAAATAGCTGAATCCACAGTGGCTGATGCTTCGCTCATTAGCCAAGCAGGACACCCAACTTGACCGGCTCTTGTCAGTGCTGCCCAGTGACAGGACAAGGGACAATAGGCACAAACTGGAACCCAGGAGGTTCCATCTGACCAGGAAGAAAAAATTCTATCCTGTGAGGGTGACGGAGCCTCCAGCAGGCTGTTGCAAGGACAACAAGGTGTAGGACATGGCGAGGATCAAAACGTCTCTGCAGCCTCTCTTTATAGACCATTGAAATAATAAAAAAAATCAAAGGGCACCAGACTGCTAGTGCTGGAGATTTCAGCTGCTGGAGTTGTCAACAGTCAGAGAAGGAGCCTCAAGTCCCCTGGACATCCAGTCTTTATTGGCTGAAGAAGACTCAGTACAGTATGGAGACACCATCCAATAAAACTTAATGGGGTGGAGTCTCTATGCCTTGAAGACAATATGAACATGAAGTCTTTCTTGCAGAAAACTCCCTATTTTAGTGCCCAGGAATCCCCCCAGCCCTCTGTACAGATTCTTCCTCATTTGGAGAAACAGTATTGGTGACTCACACCTCAAAGCCAAGACAAATGGAGAACCTTGAAGAGCTCAGTTAATTTCAAAAGCTTGTTTTCTGCCCTGGAGTGCTTCGTGAGCTCAGTGAATATTCATAAACCAGCAGCATGGTTTGCCTGCCCTGCTGGAACTGTAATTCTGCTCTTTTCATGGGCTCTCAATAACACAAAACCTGCTAATGGCCAGTCTGCTCGGGGCTCTAGTCTGGTGTGGCCCCGTTATTTCTGCATGGGTGGTGCAGAAAAAGCATCCGTGCTTTCAGCTGGGTAGGAAGGAGGTCTTTTGGTTGTTATCTCGACTATTTGGTGGGAGATTATAGGTGTAAGTCACAGATCTGTCCATCCATCTGTGATGGTAAAGCACTTTTGAAGTCCTCCAGCTGTTAAGGGCAGGGTCTGGGCTTCTGAGCTTTGTGGGTTTAACTGTGGGTTGCTTTCTGCAAAGCATCAGAGGGCACAGCACAGTGGTCACCTTCTCTGGGGGGTGGGAACAGCTGCCTCACTTTTGCCACAACAGGGCAAGACTCAACATGAGAGGGTTTGAGCAGAAGACAGGTGAGCAGCAATGACAGGACAGGAGTGACCAGGGGTGGGTGTCTCTGGCTGTGGTTATCAGTTCTGCCTGGGCTGGGCACAGGGCTGAGCTCGTAGGGCAGGGGATTGTTGTGGTACACGCCCCTCTGCAGTCTCTAGAGGTCCTGTCTGGAGGTGGCAGAGGTTGTCCCCCTGCAGGGTGGGCAGCTGGCACCAGCACAGACCCGGAGCTGAGAGACGGCACCCGGGGATGGCTCGCAGGGAAGCTTATTGCTCCTGCT